CCTACCCGTGAAGTGCATGGGAACTTCCTATGTACTACGGGTGTGCCTCCTGAGCCTGCCGCAGGGAGGCAGGGGCTGCAGCTGCAGCTCCTGCTCAACTCGTGAGGAACAGGCTATTTCTGGCCTGTTCCGCATCCCTGTTTACGTGCCTGAGTCTTAGGGGCAGGTCGAAACAACGAGGGCCTGAAAATGGCCCTTCGTTTCAGGCTGAAAACTCTGGGTCTGAAAAGACCCAGAAATAGGTTGAAACGGGGTAGGGCTTGCAGACCCTCGTTGTTTAGCATGAAACGAACGGGGCCTGTAAGCCCTAAGTCTTAGGCTTTTAGGCTGAATGTCCGGGACGGGCCCTGCAGGGCCCGTGTGGCTACGCAGTATGCCACATACACACACACATAGACACACATAGACACACACATATGTGAGGGACGGTGCAGATGTGGGAGGCGCGAGTTTCTACAAGTGTGGCAGTGTATATTTCCATGATTCATTCGATTTTGCTCATATTGTCGATGGAAGTAGCGTGAGGCCAGCCATGAGGTTGGAGACTTACCTCCATCTCTCTTTGTCTAGTTTCGATAGTAAGGATACCATGATGTCCATTTGGGCCCGATTGGTTCAAAGTTTACGTAGGAAGGTCGTTTTGTGTCGGTTCAGGATATAATGTTCGTTACTGCTTTGTTCTTTACCTCTTAGCCAGGTATGACCCTTGAGGAGGCTGGACCGGCAACCGACATAAACTGGTCGGGTCTTATCACCAGACTTGCATGCGCTCTTCAAGTTTCATTTGTCATGCTGCCTGTGCTCGGATTGGGTTTTTTTCTTTGTCGCTATTTTTCCGTCATGGTGTGTGATGCTTGATGTTCCACAATGTATATTGTGTGAATTAGCACTTTCTTTCAACTAACTCGATGCACTCAATAACCAGCATAGCAACAGTACAATGTTAGACTGATTGCGCATTATGCTCTACAACTTGTTAATTACTGTTTTCTACACTTCCCCATTTCTTCCTTCCAATCTTCCTCTTTTTTTCCTCTTCTTTATTATACTATCCTGGTTTTTCACACTTCTACTCTTCGTGTCCCCACGACTTCTCCATGTTCCCGTTCAGTCCAATTGTTTGCCACTACTGCCAGCAGCCAAAACACTTCATCAAGAACGGTTAGCTACGTATCAGCCATGAAGTTGGAACACCAGGAGCGGAAAATGACAACTACAATAGGAATTTTGTGTCTTCGTCTAACAACACACCTTTGCTGTCAACATTGAACGTAGCGATAGGATCCGTAGCGATAGGATCTTGACCACTGACTATGAACGATGACTGATATGAAGGTTCGTATCAAGGTGGTTATCAAAATAATTATCATCCGCAGTATCGTCAACAATGGAATAGACGAAAGCGCGAGGAGGAGAAGTTTGACAAGATGTAGGATTTTATTAGTGAGATAAAGACAAGGGAACGTGCACAGAAAGAGAAAGATAAAATTATATGAGAGGAGGAGGAGAAAAGAGGAGTGCACAAACATGAAGGAAAAAAAACTCAAGGAGTAATAAGAGGATGATGTTTTCTAGACTAACGCAGGAAAGCTTATTGATGTTGAAGGTGTGCGAGTCAGTTTTAGGAAAGAACATGAACAACCATAAAAGGTTGTGCACAGAGGCGAGCAAAGAGCTCAAACAACAAGGAGAGTCATCCAAAAAAAGAAGTGAGGGAGAATTGGGTGCGAAGACCAGCGAGAACAAAAGATTTAAGGCAAGACAATGTAGAATTGTGTTTGGCCATGAGCATGCATCTGACCAACAAGGAGACAAACAAATCGTAGCAAGAGAATAAAACCTTGTATCACAACGTTTTGGCGTTGAAGGAGGAAGTTAATCATCTAAAGGGAAGCAGTAGTAAGAGGAGTGTTGAGGATATCAATGAGAAAAGTCCCCCTACCAAACTAGCAAGAGGAAGGGCTTAGAGTATGGAGTAGCCCATGACACTCGATGATGTTGAGAAGATGGCCAGGTGTATACGGGAGGAGAGTTCATGATGAAAAGGAGGTGGATGTGTTAAAAGAAAAAATCAAATCAATCATGAGGAAATGCTTTCTAGTACGAGGTACCGAACCAACGAACGTCATAACCAATTGTAAAATAAGTAGACGAGGATTATCCCACGCTCACCAAAAGAGATTGGATGGAGCTTAACAAGTGACACAAAAATGACATCGAGAAAATGTGTGATGAAAAAGGTCTGCAACATAACTACGATTTGAGGGTGTGCTCCATATTTGGCGGAAAGATACATCGGTTAAC